TGTTTGACACAAACACTTTCATACTTATATCACTCTCTCTGTTTCATAATTGTGTGTGAGACTAGTGGATGTGCATTTTCATCATTTAAAGTAAAATAGGTCTGTCTGACTGTCTCTGCCTATCCCTCCATTTAAACATCTCTCCTTCTATCTATCTATCTATCTATCTATCTATCTATCTATCTATCTATCTATCTATCTATCTATCTATCTATCTATCTATCTATCTATCTGTCTGTCTGTCTGTCTGTCTGTCTGTCTGTCTGTCTGTCTGTCTGTCTGTCTGTCTGTCTGTCTGTCTGTCTGTCTGTCTGTCTGTCTGTCTGTCTGTCTGTCTGTCTGTCTGTCTGTCTGTCTGTCTATCTATCTATCTATCTATCTATCTATCTATCTATCTATCTATCTATCTATCTATCTGTCTGTCTGTCTGTCTGTCTGTCTGTCTGTCTGTCTGTCTGTCTGTCTGTCTGTCTATCCATCTCTCCATCTGTCTGTCCATCTATCTATCTATCTATCTATATATCTATCTATCTATCTATCTATGTCTATCTCTCCATCTCTCTATCCATCTATCCCTCTATCCATCTATCCATCTATCCCTCTATCTATCTATCTATCTATCTATCTATCTATCTATCTATCTATCTATCTATCTATCTATCTATCTATCTATCTATCTATCTATCTATCTATCTATCTATCTATCTATCTATCTATCTATCTATCTATCTATCTATCTATCTACCTATCTATCTACCTATCTATCTATCTATCTGTCTGTCTGTCTGTCTGTCTGTCTGTCTGTCTGTCTGTCTGTCGGTCTATCAAACTAAGTTGAAGTTTTTAAGTTTGAAATTATATACAATATACACACACTGTTTACTAAAACAAAAGTTTTCTGGTTTCTAACAGGACAACTGTTTAAACTGCTACTACTACTTTTAATAGGAAATGTTCCATAAAAAATAAAAAATAATGTCTTAAAAGGAAATCAGAAAATCACAAATCACAGTGAAAATTAAGAGAAACTGACTTCATACATGCACTAAAAATGATCTTGAGATGAGTTGGAAAAAAGCGGCTCAGAAAAGGGAAATTAGTTCTGAGAAAAGCTCCTGCAGCGTTTGAGCACTGATGACACTTGCTTTGATATTTTGTTATCTAATGTAATGATATCCAAACATTTTTTTTCTATAAAATCACAGCTGTGTTTTTTTACTAAAAACATCTACATTTCGGAGTTTAACAACATCGAGTGAAGCAGGTCCTACTGAGCCGTTCCTCTTCCATGTGCTGTATTAAGCATAGATGGTTATGAAGGCAGATGCCCTACGTACAGAAGTGTGTGTGTGTGTGTGTGTGTGTTTTAGAGGGTGGGGGAAGAAAGCGAGAGACAGTGAAAAAGAGAACAGGGTAGAACCTTGCCTCAAGCAAAAGCCACTGAACAGTTAAGAACTTCCTGTTTCACTTCAGGCTACGGAGAAAACGCTAACCACACATGATGGAATGATGGCCTTTCATCCGTCCGAAGAAAAGAGGGAGAGAAAGAGAGGGAGCCGGTGGAAGAGAGATGTTCTAAGACAGATCCTATTTTCTTGCTGTCTGTGTCAATTAGTCTGGTGCCTTTGTGTTGAGCACAGGTAACCATTTAAAGGCCTCAGCGCAGCTTTGGACTCAATCTGTCCGGCTCGCTTTGGGTGGTTTGAGAGAAAACCGGGGAGAACAAAAAGAATATGCACATATGCGGTCAGGTTTCGGTTAGACTGATCGCTGTATGATGAGATCTTATTCTGTTCCCAAGTTCTCTATGAAGTGAATTAGTATATTGTGAACAAATGTAGGCTTTGATTCACGATTCAATTAACCAATACAACAAGATTATCCATCATACATCCATCATGCTTCTTTTAAAATGTAATTTATTCCTGTGAATTTTCAGCCTCATTTCTTCAGTCATCCTTCAGAAATCATATTAATATGCTGATTTGCTGCTCAAGAAACATTTCTTACGATCAATGTTTGAAGAAAATCTTTTGTAACATTTTAAATGTTGTTAAATCAATTCACTAAATAATATATTCATTTTTTAAAAATCTCACAGACCTCAAGCTTTTGAAAGATAGTGTACACTTCACTTACAAAATTATAATTCAACATACATAAATGCATATCAATAAAAATAACCAGGGATAAAAGGATGCAGGATAGATTTAAAGATTCCTTTATGGTTCTTTTGCATTTTTTTTTTTTTTTTTTTTTTGATGTTTGAAAGCATCAATTCCCAATTATTGTATAAGTGCATGGAAAAAAGAATGTAAAACACAGCCTTTTGTTCCCCTTTGGTGTTTTGCAGAAGAAAGATTTTGATCATTAAGAACGGCGCATGAGAGCGAGTAAACGATGACTAAATGTTCATTTTGGGGTGAACTATTGCTTTAATTTAGCATTAAACTGCCGTGAAGGGCCTGGTGAGCAGTCATGTAATACGTGTGTTTGTCTGAATGGCCAGCAGCTGATATCTGAATCCAGACCCTACGATAGCTGTTCGCTCTAATTTCAGAAGCTAAATGTTTAGCTATTAGCGAAGCGCTTTGATGTGTCAAATAGGTTAACAGGTACATTTTCTGCTTCATGAAACAGTTTTAAAATGCACACACACACACTGTGGTTTAAGGCAGATGCTTAGAAGTGCAAATTGGCCACGTCTGTGGGCTCTGATCAGCGGATTGTGAGAGTGCGTGTGTTTGCCATGTATTTCCCAGTGATGCTGTGACAGGGGTTTTACACGACGCCTCGAACCCGGCTCAGGGACGAGTTTCAGGCACTACATGCAACCTCTGCCTCACTCTCTTCTTCTTTACCTAATTCGCTCCTTCCTCCAGCCTTCTCCTTCTCCTTATTTATGGCGACCTCAGCGATAATCACGAGAACACCTGCCTCTATATCCACGGAGATCCTATAACTAAGGAGACTCTGCATTTTGGGTCAGGAGGGTTAAGCAACGAACAAACGACTACTGTAGGTTACATTTTATTTTACTTGAACAAAACTCGATGCCATGATGCCAGGGTTTGCTATTCGTGTGATATACGGTTACAAAATGTTCTGATGGGTTGCCAGGGTGTTGCTATGCAGTAGCGAATGTGTTCTGAGGGTTATATTGTAATTCTATGTGCTTGCCATGGTGTCCTGAGTGGTTGCCAGAGTGTTGCTATGCAGTTGATTATGTGTTTTCATTGTTATATAGTATGGTGCTATTTGGTTGCAAAGGTATTCTGATTGGCTGGCATAGTGTTGCTGTGCAGTAGCTTAGGTGTTCTGACGGTTATATTGTATTTCTATGTGCTTGCCATGTTGTTCTGAATGGTTTCCAGGGTGTTGCTATGCAGTAGCTATAAGGTGTTCTGAGGGTTATATTGTATTTATATGTGCTTGCCATGGTGTTCCGAGTTGTTTCCAGGGTGTTGCTATGCAGTAGCTAAGGTGTTTTGAGGGTTATATTGTATTCATATGTGCTTGCCATGGTGTTCTGAATGGTTTCTATGGTGTTGCTATGCAGTAGCTAAGGTGTTCTGAGGGTTATATTCTATTTCTATGTGGTTGCTCTGGTGTTCTGAGTGGTTTCCAGGGTGTTGCTATGCAGTAGCTAAGGTGTTCTGAGGTTATATTGTATTTATATGTGCTTGCCATGGTGTTCTAAGTGGTAGCCAGTGTATTGCTATGCAGTTGCTAGGTTGTTTTGAGTGTTATTTTGTATTTCTATGTGCTTAACATAGTGTTATGAGAGGTCGCCAAGGAGTTGCTATGGAGCTGGTAAGGTGTTTTGCATGTTTTACGCTGTAGAATGTTCCTATGCGGTAGCTATGGGTTTCTGGGTTGTTATCATAAGTCTCTATGATGTGACGCTGGTTCCTCCTAGTAAGTCTACGGCACATATGCTATATTTTCACCTGTTTTATCATCTACTACTGGGTGAAAACAACTTTGGAGTCGCTAAGAAAAATAATTTCACATCCACATCAAGCTGCACAATTGGAGGCATGATTCATGTTTGTAGCAAAAGGAAAGCTTAAAGTCAAAATGAATCATCAATATTCACCCCATTCATATATACCTCAATCATGTTCAAGGTTTTATTGGGAACGATTCATCAGTGCGCCTTAGTTCAAAGAAAAAAATTGTTTGTATTTGTAACCTTGAATCAAAATAAATTGCTCTTCGTCTGTATCAGCTTCAATTACGTCTTTACCATTTCACTCAGAAAACCAGCAGAATACAGACCTAAAATGGGCCCCGAATGAAAGCTATGGAATAAGCTGCTCCTCATGTTAAATATTTGTAGTTATTGGTTGTCTGCTTTTCTGCTTGTTTGACTATTATAATAAGCAGATTGCTTGTATTATTTTGTGAAGCAACCTTGGGTTCTTGAAAGACACTATAAAAAATAAACATATTATTATTATATATATTATTATTAGTTCATGGGGTTCGCCTAAACTAGGCCCATGAGCAACACCACTGCTATAGTTATCAGATACAGTGTGTCAGTGGGCAGGTCTAAGTGAGCCCCTCCCTTTCAGTACACCAGTGGGCGTGTCCAAACAAGACTTAGACTCCTCCCCCTCCCTGACAGCAGTGTCAGGCTTCATTATATGGTTTTTTGGTGTGGTGGCGAATCCTCCCACTCGACACACACAATCGCCCACAGTCAGGGTGAGCATGTTGTATGTGTGTGTGATGTCAGTGCCACAGGCGACTACTGCTCATGGGCCAATCTACCCAACCTGTCACTCTTCATCTGTCTCCCACACACACACGCATAGGAATTCTGCCTGAAGCATCCGGGTGGACACATGGAAAGTGGATTTTTGTACAGCACTTAGCAATATTAGCAGACTCGAGACAGGTAGTGTATGTGTGTGTGTTTTTGGGGGTGCATCCGAATTTTGATGAATTAGCAGTATATGCTTGATGTACATGTGTGTGAGTTTTTCACTTACCTGCTTCCTTTAAAGCTCAAATGTGAAATTGTTTGCTTTTTAACACTCTTCTATCCCAGGTTGATGTGCAGTCTGTCCAAACTAGCTTGACTCCGCAACCTCGGCTCTACCATTTCCGGACCATGCGTTTTGCTGACCTATGGATGGCAGAGGGAAGTTACCGCAAACCTGATTGAAAACAGTAACATTAGTTTTGCAATTACTAAGTGAAATGTAACTCTTTGTATTTAAATCATTTGCATTCGAAGTGATAGAAACCTACTAAAATCAACAAATGAATTCTGTCTATATACAGAAAAATATATTTAATTATTTAAATATGTAATTATTTAAATTTATTATTTAAAAAAGTTCTTTAGCATTAGGGTAGTCAAACATGATCTCCACATTACCTTAAAAAAACACATCATTATCAGTGCTTAAGTAAAAGTATTAAAAATGTTTACAAAATAAATTATAGGCCTAGATATATAAATCTCCTCTTTTTTATTTTTATATAGAAATATTAAAAAATATAAAATCAGTAATATGAAAAATACATTTAAAATAATCTCAAAATAGACTTGTCCAGTAAACTAAGGATTTAGTAAAAAAATAAAATAATGATAAGCATTAAAATATAGATGGATATGATATATACAAATATACATACAAGTGTTTAAATATTCTTTAAAAAAGGTATTCTTTTTTATTGTCAATAAACTAAGGATTCAATAAAATGTATATTCAAATATTTCTAGATAAATATTAAAAAATATATAAAAAATAAACTAAACACATTTAAAAATCATTTAATATTGTTTTAATTTTAAAAGTATTCTTTTAAAATTATTCTTTTTTGTGTGGCCAATAAACAAAGGATTCAATAAAATCTAAATAATATTAAAAGCCTTAAATATGTTTCACAAAACATAGATATTAAAAATGCAAATATTTAAAAAAAAACCTAATAAATACATTTAAGCATTTAAAAAGTGTTGTACTTTGTTGTAAAAAAGTTTTCTTAAAAAAAAAGCTATTCTTTTTCTGGCCAATGAACTGAGGATTGAATTCTAATAATGCACTGTTGAAAAACTGGAACTCTCATTACCAGTGAAAAAAGGACACACACATGCACACACAGAATGCATTAATTTAAGCCAAGACTCTGCCTGAGTTTAACTACTCACCACCAGTCATTCCCAAAACTACAGCTCGACCTCATTGCCCCAGGATATATATCCCACACACATACACACACAGGAGAGCAGCTCCTCTCACACTCCCATTAATTAACCACATTAACATACGAGCACAATGACCCAGTCAAATGACCCGGGGCGAGAGCCGTTCAACTTCATTAAATGTGAAGCCGTCACCCTCCGCAGTCTCTCAGCGGCGCTATCATCTCATTCTCACTGCCACATAACTTCACACGTCACTCTCCGATTCAGTGCGAGACACAAACAGGCCGGATAATTAGAAGCGGTTTAATAATGAACTGCAATTGACCAAAGACCCGTCATAACATGTTCTAAAGAGTTGACATTGGTTTATTGTTATTAAGTTTTTTAGCTGTTTTTAGTTTTACACCTCCCTGACCTTCATATCACATGCCTGAAGGCGTTTCAGAGCACTTTAAACTGGTTTCAAAGCAAGAAAGAAAACAACTAAATTTGTAGTTGAACTATGATAGTTTCCGGGAACTCTCAGATGCTTATTCAACATCTGAGCAGGTATTTCTCACAGGCCATCTGAACATGTACACATATAACTGAAGCTTTAAGTCAGGTTCTAGTATTAGTATTGCAATTTCAGACCACCTGCTGTAGCAAAAAAGGGACATAAATATTATATATATATATATATATATATATATATATATATATATTCTCAACATTAACAAATTGTACTGTGATATTTCAAAAAAACATATTGCATATTTAAAAAAAAAGTACAAATAAACTACGGTTCAAATTATGTTAGTATGCTCAACTGGGACAATTACATGAAAACTGAATCTCATGATTCAGACGAAAATCAGAAAACGACCATTACTGTAATACAGAAAATGGCCATTTTCATTCATTTAATGTGAAAAAAAAAAAAAAAATCTCATTCTCATTAATGCAATGAGAAAATTTGTATTATTTAATTTGGCTAAGTAATATTCATCATTCTGCCTTTAAATTATGCTGATTTTTAATGTAATTGTGTCCATATTGTATTACAGAAAGGAGAATGAGAGCTCTGCATATAATTTATGAAAATTAAATTGCACAATTGTGCTAAAAATGCCATTAGCATTAATTTCATTTTGAAAATGCAACTTGTTGTTTTCATTGACTTTTTGGTGAACTATGACTCAGACATTTCATTATAAGATTCATCCACAAATATATATACACAATATACACATATCAATGTTGAAAAAGTTGTGCTGATTCTGTTATGCATTTTTTTCAGGATTCTTAAAGTTCCAGAGAACAACGTTTATTTTAAAAGTGACAAATTTTTTTTGTCACTTTTTTGATTAATTTAATGCTTCCTTGATGAATAAATGTACTTTCTTTCTTTAAAATCTTACTGACTCTGACTTTTGAATGGTAGTGTATATTTTACACTGGCATTGGGTTTCAGTTAAAGCCTTTTTCAGAACAAATGAAATATTTTAGAAAACAATCACAATCAAGTAGACTCACTAAAGAAGTCGAGAAAAATCAAAAGATCTAAGATCAAAACTATTGGGCGGCATTTAAATAGTAGGAAGTTTTGGATTTACTTGTTTTAAGTAGCTGTTCCTGCTCCACTCAGATTATGTTAACTCTCATCTACAGTTGCCAAATCGCATCAACATTTATTTCCTTAAACTACAGTTAGCTCATCTTTGTTGCAGCGCTAACAGTTGCTGTCGCTCACGTCACCTCAGATCACCAACTCTTTGAAAACGAATGACTTCCAGTGGTTTTGTCGCTGCAAATCGATGTCAGTGTGAATGACCCTCAAGCTCTTTCATGAGAAGAGAAATATACAAGTAGTTTAACAAGCGCACAACACAATATACACCACACTGTAACAAATAATGCTCTATATCACACACTAAATATTAACATTATGTGTGTAACGGTACAGACAATTTTCGAGTTTTTTGGTTCGGCACGCAAACGAATGCAGTGTTATTTTAACCTCCGCACAACTGCATCTATAATCATACTTCCTGCTATATAGTATGCGAAAAGCAAATCTATAATCACATACTTCCTGCTATATACTGTAGTATGCGAAAAGCAAAACAAAAGAAGTATGTCCGAATTCACAATTCACAAAGATTAGGCAAAAAGTACACGGATGACCTACTTCTTCTGGTGAGATTCTGAAGTGTGCATATGATGGACACGTTACTATCCCATGAGGCCACGGGAGAGGATTTGTGAATGATGCTGACGCTGACAGGTCACATGATAATGACAACATGGCAAATGTAGCAAATCCTGTTTACACTCACACAACATACTTTATTAGTGCTTGTGAATTACAAAATAAGTACCTACTCAATAGAATATGCGATTTCGGACGCAGCCCCCGTGTATATCGATATACTTTGATGTTACGAACACATCCGAAACGTAGGACATAGTGAACATCTTAGGGTTGTATTATTATATGTAAATTTTACAAAGTCACACCACTATTTAAATTGTGTATATAAAGGATCATTCTGACAGCAAGAGAGTCTCCTTTAAACTTTGAACGAATCTTTTTTCGAGTCATTTCTTTTAAATGACTCGAAAAAAGATTTGTTCATTTTGATGATTCTGTTCGAGTTCGAACAGGAGAGTCACGGACGCGCGTCACAGAACAGAGCAAGGCGACCATTTGAGCTTATAAAACTTAAACTTTGTTGTTGTTTTTTTTTATGAGCAATCATTTCGCTTGATAAGACCCTTATTCATCATCTGGAATCGTTTAAAGCCCTTTGAACAGTTTGCAGTTTGCAATGAAACTCTCATTTGGACCTTGAACCGTTTGGTTCCCACTGAAGTCCATTATATGGAGAAAAATCCTTTTCCGAAAAAATTCTTTTCGACTGAAGAAAGAAAGACGTGGACATCTTGGATGACAAAGGGGTGAGTAAATTATCAGCAAAACTCCTTTAAGTATATTTCAAGTAAATATACATTTTGCTAAAATATTTTTCCAAAAGTGGCAGTGCTTCAAATCTCTTCCCCCATTTACAACAGCCCCACAAACGGCAGAAAGAAGTGTTTTGCAGCTGGTTGCAGGAGTATTAACAGATATTTATTTAAAGACGGTTTGTTCAGTAAAGCGCACTGTTTAATCAAAAAGAAAGGAAGCAATCGTGTTTTTCCCCCTGCTGTACGGAAAACACACCGAGCCGTGACTTCCAAACTGAGGTACTTACCGAATCATAATTTTTGTGTGCCGTTACGCCACGAGCAAAATTGATTTCTAGCAACGGTGTGTGCGCATTTTAAAGACAGTGTAATATGCATGTGTAGAGGTCTGTTAGTGGTCACTGCGGCGGCTGCACTCGGGTTAGTGAACGCTAACCGTACGATTAACAGCGCGGTCATGACACTCCTGCACACACACCACACACACTCGTGTTCGAGTGGTCTGCTGCGGTCACTGCTCATTTCCTGCCCCCCAGCTCTGTTCCCAGGGTTCCTTGGGGCGACCTGTCTGGCCAATTACCTGCTGAGCTGTAATGAGCTGCCAAGAGCCAAACACACACACTCAAGCACACATTCCTACTGTATCCACATGAATTATTTTCTCAATCCTCACATAAATGCAAACACTAATTCGGTCTTCCTCACACACTCAGACTGAGACACATACACACACATACACACAGCGTGCGGTTCAGGGCCAGAAACAGAACGACTCTTATTCTCCAGTGGTCAGGTTTAATGAAGCCGAGTTGAATTAATGCAGGGAAGCGATATAGAGTGGACGTATAGAGCTGAGGAGATGTATAGGGAATGACAGAGAGACAGGGATGAGCTCAGAGTGATCCTGGCAGAGAGAGACGAGCGCAGTGTATAAGCAGAACCGCTGGAACGGCGCGATGCCTCGATTACCGGAAAAAACTGCCATTATTGACATCTCCGAGACCCCCCCACCCACACGGTCTCATACATACATGCATCTAGTTCTGTGAATCTCATGAAACCATATCAAGGTCACATTTCATGCAAAAATAGAAATAAAAATGAAATAAAATTTAAAAAATTGTAAATAAAATGAAGCCTGTTTTTGTGACATTGTTTTCGAAAATTAAGCAGATTTTTGACCCCAAATGCTCATTAATGTAATACATCTGGATAATTTTTTAATTGAATGAGAATTAAAACAATAAGTTTATTTTATTTAGCACTTTGCAAACCCAAACTCACTTTACAAAGAGACAATACAGATAGACTGAGCGTAGATAACATACATAAAATGAACATGTAACGTTAGGGATCTTAGATACGAGAAGCGAAAAGGTAATGTAATGAGGAGAGGTCACAGATGTGAGAATAATTCCCATTATTAATTATATTATTTTATTGTTTACTGTATTACAGTCCAAAATACTGTAGTATAATCATTAAAAAAAAAAATCATAATTTTAGAAGTTTATTTTTGCATTATGGAAAATGCTCCAAAGGGCTATATTGACCTGAATGGTCCTTAATGATTCTAATTCTCTAAATTTCTTTGTATTTTGGTGTGTGAAACATGAGCTAGACAAAATATCGACAGGTTTCATAAGATTCACCAATGCATCAAATACACACGTCGAGACACATTTACAGAATGATTCAGAACTACTTACATAAATATTGTTCAGTATGTGGAATGTCACTCAGACGCTCATCGTGACACTAAAAACACTGAACTCATGCAAAGGATGATGGGAACGCTCTGACAGACAGCAGGCCATTTAGCATCCAGCTCACCCAGACAACACACACACTCACATAAACCCCCCCCACACCCCCACTGCTACAGTGCCTGGGGGGGTTTCCACGGTGACGGGCCATGTCAGCGTCAGGCGCTCAAATCTGCCAGTCTGCGCTACGGCCCTGCAATCTGATTGGCCGTTGCATGCTGCTATGGAAACTCAGGCGGAAGGAAGCATGGAAAGGGGGGCGGCCACGCCAAGCGGAGTGTGTGTGTGAATGCGTGTGTTCAGGTCTTTCCTGGACATCCCTGCCCTCATGGGAGCTCTGATGCAGATGTTTATAAAAACCTGAAAACTGGTGAAGTTTAAAAAATGCACGACGGAGACTAAGATCAGCTTGTCTGGTCTGTTTATGTCTAAGAGAATCAGCGTCTTAACTACTGTAATGCTTCACTCGGCTGAGTAACACCTGCTAGCGACCAGCTTAAATGACCAGTTAAATCCATCATTATGGAAGTTATGGTATGTAGGCCTGCTACTTGCAACAATAACCATCTTAACCAGCTTGTGCCAGTAACAGACTAGCACTAGTGCACATCTAAACCAGTTGGGCCATAAAATAAAATAAAATAATAAAATAAAATTGGTTAAGCTAATGAAATTAAATTTATGGAACTTTTCAGTTTTGTAATTAAATTAAAAAATTTAATTCTTTAACTTAACTACTAGGAACCAATGGCACATTACACTATTAAACATGTTAAAAATGCATGGGATGAGTAGCCATAAAAACACATTAAAATAATAGAGAATTAGAGATTGAACATTAAACACTGACATGCCTTTAGTTTTACTCCAAAACAGATAAATTAAAATTTAAATTATTAAAATGTATTCTTCTGATCCATTTTAAAAATAAATGTAATGAAATTATGTTCACAACTTACGCCAAAATGTTCAGAACTTGTGTTGATTTAGCTCATTTTAACAAAGTCAATTAAGCAGTATTATTTGAGACAGTGCTGTTACGCTTCAGCTTGTAAACTTTGATTAATGTGAACATTGAAATGACTGGAAATTCAGTCATGACAAGGACATTAAAGACCTTAAAGACAGCCTCTAGTGTCAGTCGCTACTGCGCCGCATGAGGCCTAAGGGGTGAGGTTTACTCGCACAGCTCTTACGGTACTAGCTGTCTTACTAGATGTCAACCTAATCATTTAGATGTTTTAACCATCTTTAGATGGTATCAAATACTAAGCGAAATAAACCAACTAACACCAAAAAACATCACAGAATTCATCAAATCCACAGCTAAATACTCACCGATATTTGCGCTGTGGTTGATTTCCCTCCAAAATGATGTCACTTCCTGTAGGATGACGTTATACAGGAACTGTTTTTTGTTTGTTAAAAGGATTTTACAAGACTGGAAAAAGAAAACAGAACGGAAAGTGTTATTTTGAGGACTTAAAACATGACTTAAAAATTGTTTAGGTTTTGTTTGTTTCAATTAAAGAAAAAAGAAGAAACACAAACACACTTAATGTCATTTTAAAAATAGTGAAATAATTTTAAATTCATGACTCTGTCATCAACATATAATATGATTTATTGTGAAATTGTGATTTTAATTATTTATCCAGTTTAAGACAAAAAAAAGACTTAATATAAGAAACGTTCTGTTTTCCACACCGCAGTGTTTATTTGTCCATTTCCAAATGTACGTGTATCACCAGCTATGAATATGAACAGAATAAACAGCAGATTCTGAAAACAACCTTCTTGATTTATCCATGAAGGCCTCAGTTATGGAGACCGTGGTTGAGTAGAATCGGTTGAAACTGCCTAACTGAATTTCCTACGGATATTCAATCCAGGGAAAACTGACCCAAGGAAGCTAGAGGGGTCAATTTGTGTCTAAGGGAGTATGTGTGTGTGTGTGTGTGTGTGAGTGTTTCTGGGCTGTTGCGGACTGGTTAACCCTTAAGTGTTTTGCCCTGAGGACGTCATTAAATGTTCAGCAGCACACCTGGGAGGAGCTGCAGCTAATATGAGTGAGAGACTCTAAATGCTACACACACGCACACACACACTTATATATATAACTCTAGTCTGGAAGGAGGGCCATATCCATAATTGATGGTTGCTTTTTATTTGAGGTACCGTGGGACACGGGACTGCAGCCTAATTTGATGAGATATCGTTTTTTAAGGTTGTTACTTTGGTTTGACACGTCTGCTTTGAGCCGCCTGCCTCCCTCTCAACTCAAACAGCACTCCGCTCTGATGGAGGAATTAAAGATACATGTGAGAATAAATCTTACATGCAGGAGAGAACAGTATACAGCATATAAAGGTGAATGTGTGGGTGCATTTTGGTGGATGGGACCCAAAAAAAAGGCCAACATTTTTTCCTTAAAAAATGGAAAAAGTCAAAGCAAAAGAAAAAATGGAGCTGTACATCAGGATATTAAATTCAAGCCAGCTATTTATTATTCATATTATTATTTGTGGGCTTGTTAATTAGTTAAAGAAATTATAAATTATGCGTGTGTGCTCATTATGATAATGGCATATGCAGAGCGAGCGTCTGTCGAGGGAGGGTTCAGACCTTGACTCCACGATCGCAGCATCTGAATGTCTGATATCTCACGCTTTATACAGTGCATAAAAATGCCAGGGTTTTATTACATTTTCAGAGGAGGCCAAACAAAACTGAGCTGTGTGCTGAATGGTTGCTAAGTCACTTAAAGGGATAGTTCACTCAAACATTGACACTCAGGGACTGTTTCAAACCTGTATGACTTTCTATCTTCTGTGGAACATAATGTTTTGAAAAATTTCCATACAATAGAAATCAAAGGGGGTTGTTTCTCAGAAGAAAGTCGTTATGCAGATTTGGAACGAATAAAAGTATACGATAACAAAATTGTCATCTCTTTAAAGGAGTGGTTCACTTTAAAAAAAAAAACTTTTGCTGATAATTTACTCACCCCCGTGTCATCCAAGATGTCCATGTCTTTCTTTCTTCAGTCGAAATGAAAGTAAGGTTTTTGAGCTTATAAAACTTAAACTTTGTTATTTTTTTTAAACCCTCATTCATCGTCTGGAATCGTTTAAGGCCCTTTGAACAGTTTGCAGTTTGCACTGAAACTGTCTTTTGGACCTTGAACCGTTTGGTTCCCATTGAAGTCCATTATATGGAGAAAAATCCTGGAATGTTTTCATCAAAAACCTTAATTTCTTTTCGACTGAAGAAAGAAAGACGTGGACATCTTGGTTGACATGGGGGTGGGTAAATTATCAGCAAAAGTTTTTTTTAAAAGTGAACTACTCCTTTAAGTCTCGATAACTACTTTCACAGTAAAAATGCCCAAAATATACCACATATTAACCGATACAACAACTTGCTTTTATACATATTGATAAAAATGGAAATATGTTTTCAGTAAGATAGTAAGAGAATTAATGCTGTAATTTAGCAAATAATTTCTTTATCTGCTCAGATGGAGAGATGTCAAATTGGACAGGTGCTGAACAAAATAGCAACATTTCTTTCCTCATAATAATTAAAAAAAAAACATGCCTTGTTTACAAATGACCTACAAAACATGGTGACAAATTTAAGAAAGCACTTTATGATATTCTAGTTTTTACATGTCTCAGGTCCCTCTATATCAATGTGAGTCTATGCAATGTTTACTGAAAAAAAAATCAGGGTTTTTTTTCAATCTATAGTATGTTTGTGCCTGACTTTTCCTGTAAAGCAAACAAACATTGTGGCGTAGGGAAGATTTCAGAGACAGTCTGACTAAAAACCGGAAGAAAATCAAGATGTGAATTAAAAAATTGCTTTAGGCCTTTATATAAGAGCTTATATTTCCTTTCCTCTGGGACACACTTTACTGTCGGATTACCCATCAATATTTAAGATGTCTGTAATCGACAGTCAAAAATATGTTTGAAATCAGCCCTGTTGGGATTGAGGAAATCCTGTGTTTATCTCATAAAAACTACCTGCTTCAGATCCCAATCCAGCGAAGTTCTCAAATAACGCTCTCTTAAGGCTCACAAATGAATCGGTAGATAAACAAGCGTCTCTCTCGTGCATGTGCGGGGTTAGGATCTGCTCACCTCATGGGTTTACCAGCTCAACCACAACATAAACCCAAGCCCCAGAGCTCATCCTGCGGAGAAACATGCATTTATGAGCCACATAACCATATCAACTAACAGATGTCAGTGTGAATTTCATGTGATCTCGGTAATATCCCAGCTGTTTCTATTACACAGCAATGAAATTCAATTATAGTGTTGGTATTGTTAAAACTATTAACAATTTTGGTAATTGAAATAAAGTAGAAAGAAAAAAAGTAGAAAATATAAATAAGAGTGAAAAATACAGTACACCTCTCACATTTCAGCAAACATTTTAGTATCTTCTCAAGGGACAATACTATAGAAATGAAACTTGGATATAGTTTAGAGTAGTCATTGTGGTGCTTGTATAGCAGTATATATTTACTGTCCTCTGTAAAATAACTCAACATACAGACATTATTGTCAAAATAGCAAAAAACGATCAGTTTTTTACATAATTTTACACATTTGCAAGATGAAAACTAAAACCAGATTTAACCCACTCTCAGAAAAAAAGGTACAAAAGCTGTCACTGGGGCTGTACCTTTTCAAAAAGTCAACTTTTGCCCATTTCAGGTGCTAATATGTATATTTTAAGTGTTAATATGTATACTTTAGGTGCTAATAAGTAAATTCCAGGTGCTAATATGTACATTTAAGTGCTAATACAGTATGTACATTTTAAGTGTTAAAATGTACATTTTAGGTACTAACATTTTAGGTGCTGCTAATATGTACATTTTAGATACTATATGTCCATTTTAGGTGCTAATATGTCCATTTCAGGAGCTAATATGTCCATTTTAGATCCTAATATGTACATTTTAGGTGGTAATATGTACATTTTGGGTGTTAATATGTACCACTAAGGAACCAATATGCAGCCTTTGGGTACAAAAGTGTACCTTTTGAAAAGGTACAGCCCCAGTGACAGCTTTTGTACCTTTTTTTCTGAGAGTGCATGCTCTTGGTGTTGCAAGCATGCTCTACAGTTTGAACTCCGATAAAGCTTTGCAAATAGCTATGGGAAGTTTAAAAAAGGGCTTCTTTTTTTAACAGTAAAGACATTAACACAGTTAAGAAAAACATGTGCCAAAGTGCATTAAAGTGATTGTTCACCCAAGAATGAAAATTCCTTCATCATTTACTCACCCTCAAATCATACAGGTTTAGAACAACATGAGGGTAAATTATTAGTAAATTATGACAGAATTGTAATTTTTGAGTGAAATGCACACTGAGTCTGAAATTCGCGTCCGAAATTTTCGCACGTTAAAAAATAAATACGACCTCAAGTTACGTCAATCACGCTTGCACACTGCCTCCGAAACTTTCATCCGGTTGGATTTTCTGCGTTTTTCGCATCCGTAACAAGCAGTTTGAATGGCGTTTTGACAATTCAAAGCCACTGAATCACGAATACGAAAAAATGGCAATGCAACGGCCTATCAGTCTTTACTTTACACATTTGCATGCTGGAAACTAAAACCTGAAACTACAACTAGTAGCATATGCCTGTTGCTATAAATACAGATTTCACAAGTTATCACAAGTCACACAAAAAGTCGATATCATGAGCTCTTCATAAGGCCTCACGAAAGATGCTATTTAGCGCCCTGTAAATACATGTGAAGCCTGTGCTGAGGGTGTATAATGATGTTTACAACAGCTGTATTAAAACTGCATACGCTCACCTGTGTTAGCAGAGGCTAGTCCCTCTTCCCTTAGGCAGGTTATGGTTCTCGCTCACAGAATGGCCCCAGGCCTCGGTTCTAACACACTCATCCAGACATATCTCCTATCCCTCTACTGTCTGCCGCTCTTCATCTCCCTCTCGCTTGTGCTGTTTTCTTTATAACCAATTATACCTTCCTTTAAAGCTATTACCACTTGTTGTCTCGTCCTTTGACCACACAGTGATCCCTTCAGATCAAGTAAATGGTTTTCAGCATGGTGATGGGTGCCATGATTACTGATAGTTACGTACATTATTCTGTATATGACGTATTTCAGTAGTTGGAGTGGAACACACTTTTAAAAAGATTCCAAAAGGGGGTTTTCATGTCAATTTTTGGTTCCACAAAGAACCTTTCAGTCAACATTTCTTAAAATAACCATCGTTTTCCTTCACATCTTAATAATCTGAAGAACTTTTTTCCACTTTATAAAATAACTTTTTGTGCATTGAAAAGGGTTCTATGGATGTTAAAGGTTCTTTATGGAACAATAGATGTCAATATAGAACCTTTATTTTTAAAAATGCACTTTAGTTCACATTAAAGCCATTTGCCTCTATTACATAATAAGAGTCTTGCTAAGAGACATTCTTATTTTAGACAGCAAACAAATTATACCAAAGCTAACACATATGGATAAAAACTTATGCACAAAACAGAATTTTCTTCCATATATGCACAATATGAAGTGTTTGTTTGCTAAAATGTTGATTATTAAATGTTTGAAGAATATCCAGCTTATGCAATATACTTATCCAGCTTATGCTTATGTAGAATATACAAAGCTTCTTATGAATATGGTGTCTGCTCTCTTGAAGTTTATCACAACACAAATATAACGCTTAAAACAGAATGAAATGACGCGCTCTTTCACAGATGTGCTGGGGTGTACTGTATGTGTGTCTTAGTTTGGAGGAAAAATGTTAAATTATCAAGTGAAAAGGGCAGTTGTGCATCTGTTGCACCCAAATTAATTTTTGAGCTTCTCGCCCCACAGATACCAGTCGCTTTGATCACTATATGCAAGAGTCATCTGCATAATAAAATAATAAAGAATTTTTTACATCCAGTTTATTTTACTTTATCCGCTTTTTTATTTGTTTATATTAATTTTATTTTTATTAGTGCTGTCAATCGATTTAAATTCTTAAAGGGATAGTTCATAACTTAGGTACATCTAATGCCATTTCAAACCTGTTTGTCTTTCTTTCTCCTTTGGAGCACAAAATAAGTTTTGAAAAATGTTTCAATGTTGTTTGGAGCCCACTTATTTTCAAAATATGTTATTTTGAGTTAAACAGAAGAATAAATCACTTTACTGTACAAACATAATGATGTCTTTCACACTTGCACATTAGTTCAGATCGGCTTTGTAGTCACAACACAAAATAGAATTTAAAAAATATCAAATTAATATAAACCAAGGTTGTTACAGACAACTAAAACTCAATGAAATTAAATTAAAAAAATTAATTCATTTCAGCTAATTGCCTACACATATTTTCACTCATTTTAATTTAGTTTAACTTAAATAAAAATGAATATAGACATACAAAAAACAATTAAAATGATAAGGAAACACAACAAAATTACTACTAAAATTGAAATATAAAATATAAAAAATGAGTCAAAATATAAAAAACTATGTTAGTATCCAAAAAAAAACTATGTTAGTATCCAAAATAAGACAAATATAAAAAAAAATAAAAAAAACATTAAATATTTTACAACATTAATGTTTTTTAAAGAATATTTTGTTACCATTATTGTTCCTTTTCTAATGCACGAATCCTTTCGGAATATAGTACGTAAAAACATTCATGCCTACTTGAAATACTTTAACATGTTGAAGCCGTGACAGTAGCAGCGCTTCGAATGCTGCTGCTATCAGTGACATAACCGCTCCACAGTTGTGTTGTGTTACGATCACACATGGCTTTAGGGGCGCAAGGCCTGACGGGTCACGATCCCGACGTCACGCTCGTGGGGATCCGAGACAGAAAAACACACTCACTTCAGACGATAGTCTTGTCTCTTGCCTTGCACTGGCGTATGATGCTAAGGGGCTAATCCACATATTAAAGCTAATTTATGGAGATCCGGTAAGCACTGCCTTTAAACATGCAGTCAAATTAATATTCAAATGTAATTCCTCACCTAAAGAAATAAAACATGCTAATGGCATACTAATTTAGTTGCAGCTGCTGTAGCTCAGAGGCTGATGGTCTGATTTCTCAAGGCCGAGTATTTAACTCCGCAGCCAGAGAGTAAAGAGAGAATTTTTCTTCCTGCTGCAAATGAATTAATAAACAGCAAGTACGTGTTTGTAGAAGCGTCGGTGGATGTAAACGTAGGCTGCTGGATGTATTCGAGACAGTTTGTTCATTACTACGTACGTCCTCTCGGGCCAGAAAGGGTCACGTTTTAACTTCAACCTCGTCTCACGCAGGGAAACTATTTTTTATGCAAAGCTGATTTTAATTACGACTTATAGATGTGGATGAAAAAAGCAAAAGGCAACGAATGGTTCGGATTGGCTGGGAAGCTGCGCATTAGCCGTCACCACCTGTGGCTGTTTTCAGTAATGGCTTTTCATGCGGTTCCGCGTGCACGTCTAGGGGAGGATGAATAAAACAAACGAAAATATGAAAATATAGACATTGGTTTGTCATTGTGTGCTGTCCTCCAGGGGTGCAATCTGCATTTGCATATTCATACTTTTGACCGGATACATAAATAATTTCCTTCTCTCCAAAGGTTAGGACTCATTAAATAAAGTCCAGCAACTAAAGAGAATATTTTCTATTATTAATTGTTTTTTGTGACGCTGCATGGAGCTGTTATAATTTATAACTGACCTGAACTCGGCTTTCTAGTTTCCACCCGGTTTACCACTGAAAGCCAGTTCACCTTGGGCAATGACAATCTCCAGCTTAACCTCTCAAAGAGCTGCCACAGGGCAGTTCCTCCAGCCCAACAAACAGCTCCTCCTAGATCTTCCACAGGGAATTGACTCTGCACAAATGAATCAGACCACAGAATGAGTGCTTACTGAGCTCAGCCGGTTAAACAAACCATTTATGTGAAGCAGAAACAGATTGAGGGATGCTGATGTGGACAAATCGGATCAAGATCAGATTTAAAGGTGAGCCACGTGACATTTCTGCGCGATTGGGATGCTTTCGGAGAATGCATTTCGAGGTAGGAAGGCATCAAGGCACGACCAAATCCAAAGTTAGCTTCTGTCTCCTGAAATACCTTCATCTCATCGATTTTTAAAGGCAGCACAGTTGTATCCGTAGCTGCCTTTGATATCCCACAATCCTGTGCTTTCCATTCTGTGACAGTTAAAAAATGCAATTTGAGTCTGAAAGTTTCAGTTGTTGGTCAGTTTCTGTGTAAATGTACGTTTTTTGACCAACATTTTCCACTTCTAATGTGATGTCTAGCAATTGAAGTTTAGTTATCGCCAAAGCTCTCTCTATTTTGCGGTAGATCATTAAACCCTTACGATGCCTCAGATATCAGTCTGAAATCAGTTTTGTAAGATACCTTTGTGTCTTAAACGCTGTAAAATGCTGCCTCCGGCCTAATGGTTAGAGAGTCAGACTTGTAACCTGAAGGTTGCTGGGTCAATTCTCAAATCTCAGGACAAATGTAGGTGGGGGAGTGACATGGATGGGATAAATGCAGAGGACAAATTCCAAGTATGGGTTACCATCACTTTCAAAGTCATTGCCTGATAAGGCAGCAAAGCAACAAGTCCGCTGCCTAAGATTTCAGATGCAGTCGCCTCAAACTCTTGCCATTGGTTAAGCCAGCGTCACTGCATAAAATCTATCTATCTATCTATCTATCTATCTATCTATCTATCTATCTATCTATCTATCTATCTATCTATCTATCTATCTATCTATCTATCTATCTATCTATCTATCCATCTATATCTATCTATATCTATCTATCTGTCTATCTATCCATCCATCTATCTATCCATCCATCCATCCATCCATCCATCCATCCATCCATCCATCCATCCATCCATCCATCCATCCATCCATCCATCCATCCATCCATCCATCCATCCATCCATCCATCCATCCATCCATCCATCCATCCATCCATCCATCCATCCATCTATCTATCTATCTATCTATCTATCTATCTATCTATCTATCTATCTATCTATCTATCCATCTATCCATCTATCTATCTATCTATCTTTCTGTCTATCTTTCTGTCTGTCTGTCTGTCTGTCTATATATCTATCTCACCATCATTACTCCAGACTTAAGTATCGCATGATCATTCAGAAATAGTGATTTGCTGTTCAAGAAATAAAATATTATGAAATGTATTTGAAATTGAAATATTGTGAAACATTAGAAATGTCTTTACTGTCACCTTCAATCAATTTAATACATCCTTGCTGATTAAAAGTACTAATTTGCAAAAAGTACTATTCAAACTTTTAAACAGTGTATGTGTATATTGATTACTTTTCTGCTTAAAGGTGGATATATTCAATTATTACCAAAATAACAGACCAATCCCGATGGTTCAAATGGTTGGGGAAGCCGGAGGTTTCTGGCAAAGTAGAAATATCTGAAAGAGAAAAAAAATGTCTTCACTGAAAAGAGCATCAAAAACAGACAGCAACAAAACCACCTCATGGTTATCATCCCATAATCACAATGACAAGAGAATCACCACAAAATAACAGACCCACTTAAGCAAGATATTTGCTTCAAGGCCTTGTCAACAAATAAGATTGAAGCATTTAGCCATTTAGTGGCGCTATGCACAGAAACCACTATTAAACACCAAAGAACGAAGCATCTGGAAAAACAGGACTGCTTGAAATAAGATGTTAAATACATTTTTGAAGGGTACAAATTCAGTTTATGTTGAGTGAAATAACGTCTGACAAAGTGAGTGACGTGTGCGCTCAACATGTTTCTATGTCCATTGCCGTCTCTGTGTTTTAAATATATTTGTTGATTTCAGGGCGAATAGTGACGGTAAATCAACTTGGTCCAGGCGGCTTTAATCATAATTAATTACCTCCCAGTTTCTGTGTCTCGAAAATAAAGTTGTGCAATATTTATTAAATCACACCAAAAAAATTGAATGTTGAGTGGGGGAAAAAATCCTTGAAATTTTCATCAAACGTATTCTAATCAGGCAGTCGTCAGGTCAGCTAATGAGATGGCAGGAGTGAGGGCCTGACACTGCAGGCTCTGCCAAATGACTACCTCCCTCTCTCTCTCTCTCTCCTTCGATCAGTCCGTATCGCTCTCTCTCGCTCTCTCGCACGCTTTCATCATCACTGAAGCTCATTAGTCCATCTTTCAGGCTTCCATTTGATTATAGTTTCACTTTTTAAAAGTGAAAAATATTTCACTCATTTACTCTCATTAGTCCTCAAGGTCATCGTTTGAAGCCGCTCCTGTCAATGTAAGATAAATCGACCCTTCGCATCCTCTCCCTCTCTGCGTATCTCCTTCAACGCTTCAGAAACCTCTCTCGCTGTCCTTTTGCTCCAAAGTTACACCTCTGTAATCATCTCTTCCTCTCGTCCCTCCGTTTCGCTCACACCAATCCTGACAGAAACTAGCGGAAAGGTAAAGAGGAAGTCAAAGACACAGAACAAAGTGATAAAGTGAGAGAGACTTGCTAAGCATACTACTCTTACTATTTCTGCCATATAAAGATATATCACAACTAGGATGAGTAGTATGCTGTATCAAAATTCAGCCAGAATTTAATGGATTTTATTGCGTATATATATATATAGCCTATACAATAGCCTACAAGATTGGTTTCATGTTTCTGAAAGAAGTCGAAAGTCGATTATGCGAATATTCAGTAATATTGTTACAATTTTAAAAATCTGTTTTCTATTTGAATATATTTTAAAATATCATTTATTCCTGTGACCAAAGCTGAATTTTCAGCATGATTACTCCAGTCTTCAGTGTCACATGATCCTTCAGAATTCATGATGCTCAAGAAACATTTCTTAATATTATTATCAATGTTGAAAAAGTTGTGCTGCTTCATATTTTTATGGAAATCGTTTTTTTTTCTGGATGCTTTGATGAATAAAAAGTTCATAAGAACAGTGTTTATTTGAAATAAAAATCTTTTACATAACATTATAAATGTCTTTAGTGTCATGTTTGATCAATTTACTGTAAAAAAGATCTTACTGACCTCAAACTTTTGAACTATACAGTACATATACATACAATAGATGGTATAAAATAAAAATAATTATTATTATATTAACTATTGTCCTAAAGTTTGGGGTCTGTAAGATTTTTTAAAATAATTTAAAACTTAAAAAAAAAGATTTATTTAAAATAAATTCTGTTTAAACTTTCATTCATCAAGGAACTCTGAAAAAAATTGGCAGTTCAATACAAACAGAAAAAGTAATAGACTGAATAATCATAATACAAAGTCTGACAGACTACGTGAGTGTGTGTTTCTGCTAAGCTCCTGTGTAAATGTATGTGTTTGTGTGTCTTTAGTTGTAAACGTGGCGTGTGATTGAGGCCTAAGGCTGACTGCAGAAATTAAAGCACAATCGATATTGACTGATGTTTCTTCCCCTGGTCTCCACCAGTCACTCTGCGTGTGTGTGTGTGTGTGTGTGTGTGCTGTCATACTCTCATTAGTGCGGCTGTTTCGGGATTAGCAACTTCTGTATTAATTGCTAATTGCTCTTAATGACATTTAATGGCTGTCAGTCAGTCAAAGTCCCACCCCTCAGCCTGTCAATCAATCTCGTGCAGCCAGAGCTTCAGACTGACGGACTCCATCACAGCTTTCATTGGCTGAGGCCCGCCCAGAGGCCATCTGACTGATATGTAAAGCAACCAATCACAGTTCTTTTTGTTCTGCGTCATGTTTAGGGGTGTGAAAATGTAACGTCGACGTCTCTACAATAACAGACCGGTGAGTAAAACTCTTGGACGCGTTTTAAAGAGTCGAAGCAGTGAACTTGTGTACATTTTTCTTTTTTCAATTAAATTTCACTCACTTGTATATTTTAAATTAAAATTATAAATCTTCTGCACTTATACATTTTCATATTTTCATTACGACACAATTTCATTGGTTTATTAAGCCATTTAGGGTAACACTTTAAAATAAGGTCTCATTATTAACTAACACAAACTAACAATGAGCATTTATTCATCTTTTTTAATCTTAGTTAATGAAAATATAGATTAAGATAATACTTTATTGTCTGTTACACAAGGGTTACATTTGTGTGTTTCTGAAGCTCCGCCCCTGACCAGGGTCTCAACCTCATATTTAAAATATCAGACAAAGTGCTGTGATGTCACAAAGCATCAGTGTCCAGCAAACTCCCTGTGTGTGTTTGTGTGTGTGTAAATGTGTAAGAGAAAGAGCTTAACTGAACCCTTTTTCCTGTTATGCACTCTTTTCTTCTCTTCCTCCATTCCTGTCACTCTTCGCTGTGTCCCATCCTTTCCAGCCTCCCTGTCTCTCGGTGTCTTTAAGCTGCTGAATGTAGGTTGCTCTGCACAATCTATAGGCCTAAGGGATACAGCAGAGAAGAGAGAGAGAGAGAGAGAGAGAGAGAGAGGGGCACTCAGTCAGTGTCTGCAGATGAACACGGTGCCCAGAGCGAGACAAACAGGAAGCTCATCGAGCATCTCGAACCCTGACAGCACAATCAGCCTGACACTGCAGCCATCCACCACACACGTTTATTTTTTCATTTGGAGTCCAGTCTATGTGAGGACACACACAGACACACCGGACATTACATACTAAACCTATCCCTACCCGTAAATTAAAACTTTTTTTGAAAAGAACCCTATTTTAAACGATTGAAGAATATTTTTTTACAAATAAAGATTAAAAAATAAATAAAACAGTTATGTAGTAAGAGTATGCTTTACAAGAAAGTTGTATTTCATTGTTACACTGCTGTTTCTTTGTAATTATAACATTTACAGGAAATTTCTATTTTATTTTTAACAGTTTTTATTGAACTTCTATTAAACCATGTAACATTTTCTACTACGGCACATGTTGGGCCAAATCTAAATTTACAGGAAATTTATGAGTGGAAATTGATGCAAAGTATACACGTTTTTTTTTTCATTACGTTTTTTTTGAGATTTAGTTGACCTGAAGCAAGGAACAAATTTGTGTGCACACAAGTGTGCACACAAACTTGACGTTTAGCTATATAAATGAGGACATATCATAGACTTCTGTTATTTGTATACAAAACTAATTATGAACATTACGCACACTTTTAGTTCCCTTAATTAAAACATCTAAATGAGGACATTTCATAATAAAATTGGTGTATACAATTTTCACTAAGAAATAGCTTGTTAATTTTACAAATAATTACTAAGAAAGAGCAAGTAACATTAAATTATGCATCACATTTTGAAGTTGCATAAATGTAAAATTTGTTTTATTTACGTTTTTTTTTCTGTCACCAACGCAGTTTGTTAGCTTTAACTTCTGTACAAATGTGTACCAAAAGTACACATATGCAAACTAGCTATCTAAATAAAGATATTGCAATGGTTACCAAAACTTTAACCAATAATATCTCAAGAACCCTAAAACATTTAACTTTATTTATGAATATGTATTGCAACTGAGGATGTCCCTAAGGATGGTTTTCATTTTTAGCAAACAATTTTGTTAAGAGGTAGCTATAGGTAAACCCGCATGTTAATATATATGAAGAGTTCAGATGCAAAAGCCTCTAAATGCCATTTGAAATTTTCTTCTTTAGTAATGATTTTTATCAAACTTGTATATTTTATTTCATTAATTTCACTTAAATAACAATTAATAGGTAATTATCATTGCCATTTAAGTGAAATTACTGAACTTAAATATACAAGCTTGATAAAAATCATCATTAAAGAAGAAAATTTCAAATGGCATTTAGAGGCTTTTGCATCTGAACTCTTCATATATATATATATATATATATATATATACAGTATATATATATATATATATATACATACATATATACTGTATATGTGTGTACGGCAAATGAGGAAGGAGGCAATCTTAACTTCTGTTGTTTTTAAATAAAGCCGAATACAGACTATCCCAAACCCTAAAAGAAACCACCACACCAAGTACAGCTAAACCCGACCTGCACACAAGTAGTGTTAACAAAGACACACTCTCATCCATCTTAACACATTAACTCATAGTTAAACTGATCCTGTCTGAGGAAACGTTCAGAAACCGATATAAGGACCCCCGACTCTCACACATGCACACACCGGCCTCAGACTGAGAGCAAGGACTGCAGTGTGGCAAAAATTTCAAAAGGATGAAGTGAGTGTGAGTGAGTGATTGTGTGAGTGAGTGTGTGTGTGTGTGTGTGTGTGTGTACATTTGGAGGTGGGGTCTGGGGGGAGTGTGTGTGTGTGTGTTTGGGGCGGGGTGGGGGGAATGGTGTCAGCTGCACAGGCAGCAGAAAGCAACATCTTAATAAAACAGCCCGAGGCAAAATCCCATTAAAGACTTCACAGAGCAGCCAGGTACACACACACACACACACACACAATATATACAATACATCTGTCTGTCTTTGTGTATGACAGTGTGTGAATTCATTTGGACTGTGTGTGTGTGTTTGTGTAGGGTTACAGACCTCACTGCGACCTCACTATGCGTTCAGAGAATACCAATAAGAAAGAACAATTCTTTGATGTATTTTGTGTGTTGGTGAGAGATAGAAAAACTTTTTCTTCAGTGCGCGTACATTTTTTTTGGACAGCCGGATTGTTCAATATTTCACTATATTTACCTTTACAACAAGTCATAGAGGGAGACAGTTCTGTGAAAGCAGCATTCTGCCCAAACACACACACACACACCGTTTACAAATGTACCATTAGCATTTTATGTATGGGAGGCAGATGAGAGAGAGAGAGAGAGAGAGAGAGAGAGAGAGAGAGAGAGAGAGAGAGAGAGAGAGAGAGAGAGAGAGAGAGAGAGAGAGAGAGACATTAGCACAGTTAAAAACATCCAAATCTGTCAGAGCGCAAATGGGATGTCGGTAGGGAGGGGGGGAAAAAGAGACAGACGCAGAAGTTAAAACTCTCTGGCTTTTTCTGCCCAAACGCAGAACTTCACGTTTTTGTAAACTATTGTTATGACAGCATGTCACTTCGGTTTGAGCGTCATCGGTAGCGCGCGGCGCGGGCTGAGCAGGGCGGTGAAGCGATCTTTAGCGAGACCCTAAGGCTATTGTCATAAAGCTCAACGGCGCTAACAGCCAACTCTAATTCACTTGTCAACTGCCTGATAAAATACTGCACAAATGCCATTTTAACTGAAGCAGCTAATAGGGAAGTTTATATGTCTTCTAGTGCCGCGCGTGCGTGAGAGTCTTCAGTTCACACTAGTCGTCATCATTCTTCTAATATAAAGCGTATTAGAATAATCATGCAGAAATGAATCCTCTGCATTATCTGGTTAAGTTGGCTCGTTTAAATCGCCTGTTAACCCTTGTAATCCAGACAGCCAAGGAGTCCTGACCCGCGCGTTAGACTTTGAAAGCTAAACTAAACCTTTAATCTGAGTCGAGATACGTTAAGAGCTGCTATTGACTCCGGCGCTAATGAACACGGCTCTGCAAACAACTACAGAATTGGCTGCACTGAATTTCAAACTTGCCAACAAAAAGATTAGTAAAATACACGTTTACAGGCCTACGTGAGTGAGGCGTTTAAGTCAAATGAAAGAATCGTTGGGAGGATGTATCCTATTGGTGTTTATCTGCACCCGGAGGCAGGAAGAGAATCGTGTCTCGTTATTTCAGTCAGTTAAATATGTGAACACTTATTCTTAATATATTAATCAATGAGTTTGAATTCTGAACTACAGCCTACAGAGGAAGACTGTTGAAACACTGGGGTGTAACACAGGCTACATAAACATGGTAGAGGTATCTGACATGGTATTTAATGATCACTAGGCTATGCAAATGCCATATATCCACAAAAACAATCAAATGGAGCTAACTTATATTCAACAGAATAACTGAGATAGGAGACTAGGAGATAGGAGATATCTAGACACAACTGTAGGCTACTACCATATTGGAGAAATATGAGGTAGTAGACTATTTATCAAAGTAACTTTGTCGTCATACTTTACAAATAGTAGTGCTTTTTTACACCAAGATTCTTAAACATTGTAGTAGGCTATTAGCCTATAATAGCAAAAATCTCAAAAGTAACAAAACATGACATTATCATGTTGCAATGTCATCAGAAACATTGCAATGCTGTAGATTTGTATCAGGGTAATCTACAGACAAAACATGAATCTACTTAGATTCGAAATCCAAATCTACTTAAAGGGATTACAATAGGCATTCCACAGTACTTTTCGTTAGAGCCCAGTTGGTTTAATCACAGTGTGCTCGTAACGCCCCCTACTGGCGCGAACCGCAGCTCTGGTATAATTAAACTCGCGCAGCTTCCGGGTTAGAAGAGCGCGCCAAGGCTCGAGACAGGTGAGGCCCGGTGAAGCTCACAGTGGCGCGAAGCCCGAGGAGGACGCGCCGCACTGATGCAGTTTCTACCGTTCAGAACTGGTGTAGAGACAATTTACCGGGAAGTCCACCAGCAGAACTGGTAAACAAGTTAATGAACGTGGAGAAAACGTGCGCGCACACGCGCGACCGGTCAGTATTACTGTGGCAACAGCGACATCTGCTGAGAACTGATCACTCTCCCTTTACCATAGTTCCCGCCAAAACACTATATACCTTTACTATAAGAAAAACTGAAGTAATTTAGTATGATTCAAGACTATCATAAAAAAATATACGTTTTGAAATATAAAATGATAAACATTTTGAAATCTTATAGGCTAATGTTGAAGGGAGATTAAATCACATTAACCTTACTGGTCAATATACAGCATTTCAGTTATGCTAAATTACACCATACAGGAGGATCAGGAGAACATGCCCTACTCATTACTGTTATGTCTGAACACCATGAAGCCATTCTTTCTGCAATTAAGCTATTAATTAATATTAATAATAGTAATTAATAAGTGATATATTATTGTTGTCCTCTTTCTAACTTATTGTATTGTTTTTTGTCATTTTACTATTTGTTTGTTTGAGCTAGATGTGAAACAGTGGCTGTATTTCTGAGCCCAAGACAAATTTCCCTCTAGGGAATAAATTAAATATCTTGACAATAGAGAATAGCCTACCTTAATTCCTTAGAACCAGAAAAATTCAAAATCAGCTGTTAAGATTTGCATCAATAGACTACATATCTTTAATTCAAATATATTTACAAATTATATTGCATACTTTCTCTACTGCGCTTGTGGCACATGGTAAAACAAACATTTCCTGTGGGGTTTAAATCCCAGGTCTATCTCTTTAAATTGAATCACAAGAATGCACCATCAAAATATCAGACAAAAATACTTTTTAAAAATGATATCTGCCTTAAGTGAATGGGCTCTTTGTGAGAAGTGATTTAGTTACTTTTATTTACAATG